AAAATAAGAGTAGGAAAAACTTTATTTTGGATATCAAAAGGAAATAAAATACTTTTGGATATTTGGGAGGGGTTGGGATTTTGGTGGAACCATCCAGGGGTATAACATACTCCCCTTCTTCAAAAAAAGTTTGTCCTCAAACTTTCGCACCACCGTGGGAGATTGATGGTTTCATAAAAGTATTCCCGGATCAAATGGGAAACTTAATGAACCACCAATATTGAAGTTCACTCCGGACTTAGTTGGCACCTCGTAGTGTAATTTCCGGAATATGATGGCCACCTTGGTTAGTACCTGCTTCACATGTCCTTCAAAGATGAAATAAGTTTCTTCTTCACCAATTGGACGATAATACTCTGTGGAATTTAATTCCTTAGAATATATAACATCCGGTGTAGTTTCCTCCACAACAACCTCGGAATCTGGTTCTTCAAGGAAGATGTCATTTTCATCTTTGACTTGAAAATCAGAGACGTCTTCAACAATGACAAGCTGGCCGTTGAAGCTTTTCTTTTCCTCTTCACAAATTATTTCTTCAATCAAAACTTCTGCACGTGAAGCTTCTTCATTAATCTTGGCCCATTCTTCATACGGTACGGTATGTTCATTTGGGCATATCCAGTAGATATGACCATAGCCACAACACTTGTAGCACCGTTGAGTTGGCCCTTGTAATATAGCCTCATTGGCGTAGATGATCTTCAGATTTTTGAGGTATCTTTGGACATCCATATCTCAACAACCAGATATTGGAAAGATGTAATTCCAACTCCCGGAGATAGATATGTAAGTCTTTAAAGACATATCAAAATTTCAGAGCCATTGAAAAATATTTTCTACCTCTTTGGAGACAAACTCAGCAAGGTAGACAGAATCCGGCAAGGACTGTGTTATCAACTTCGGGAGGGCGTATCTCTCAAACCGTAAGTCGGAATTGAGTGAAATCAGCGGCCAGATGTAGATAAAAGGTTAAAATACTGAACTGGAAAGTTTCACCTTCAAATACGTCGTCTAGCATCCTCCGTGCTCAACGCCATGGAACTGAAAGTTTCTGGGGAAGAAATTTCAGCAACGTTCTTTTGGGCAGCGTTTGCGAAGCCGGCCCTCAAGGTTATCGTCGAGACTTAAGAAAGCCTCGAAGCTGAGCTTTGATACCAAATGTTATACCCGAACCGGGGGTCTAAACGAGTGGCTATTTTGATGAGGAATCAAGGAATGATTCAACTTTAGTTCAGGTTTCTGGAGCAGGAGATAATCGATTTACACAAAGTCACAATCGATTACTGAAAGCTGCAGAATTTCTGGGGAAGCTGATAGTCGATTATCTTAAAGGGATAATCGATTATTGAGCCCTGCAGGTGTTTCCAATGGGATTGATAATCGATTGTGGGGAATGATAATCGTTTATTTGGCAGAATTCTGGGCAGGAAGAAGGGTGTTTTTGTGGGGGAATGGACGGAAAATATATGGAGTTGATGAGGGAGTTCTTTTGGGTATTTTAATTGGAAGAAAAGAGTGAGATTAACAGGAGAAATGGGGGGATATGAAATGGAAGAAAAATCAGGGATGGATAAACCAAGTTGGTGTTTAAGAGATATTACACACTCTTAGTGATGTACCCCGGGATGCTCCTACAAGCACGGAGGTTACACCACAAACCATAAAACAAATCAAAGGGTTAATATCTAGGTGTTATGATCCTTTTTGGGCTGAACTCATTAACCTTTTGTACCCTAAAACCCAAACCATAACCCTGCTCCTCCAAAGCTCTTCTTGATATCAAGCCTTTCCATATCCTTTCCAAATATCCAAAGTCTTTTATTTCCATTTAATAAACAAAATAAAGTCCTTTCTCTTCTTTTTAACTTTGAACGAAAATGAGGTCAGAAGGACAAGCCTTGTGTATTATTTCTACTTCTGCTGTTCCTTTTAATTAAAATAAAACCTCCCTTTCACTTCTCCACTTCAAACCCACGAATTTCCCAACTCTTTTACCCAAAAATCAGGCCACATTATGTTCCACAAAACAAAAACAAAATCAGGAAAAAGTTTTCCTCTAATTTTGTCCTGTTGTTCAAAACCCAATCCCATTCATATCCTTCAGCATATGACCGAATTTCCCACTCCAAATATCCATAAACACAACTCCATTTACCAAGGATAAAGATAAAAACATCAAGGAACCAAAATCAGTGATTGAATAGTGCAAACTTTGTCACATTATCCTTAATTGTCCAAGTTTCAATTTTCCTTGATTTCCTTCTCACATGGCAGGAATTAATGAACCATACTAAGCCAAAATCACAGCCTTTTAATCTCCTTTTCCTGGTCAATGAGTGCTGCCCACTAAGAATAATAACACATGGATATTAATCACATGATTTGTAATTTCCCTTATTTTTGCATTATATATTTCGGCCATGAGGCCTTGTAAACATCATCTCATGCATTATATATTTCGGCCATGAGGCCTTGTAAACATCATCTCATTTTCATTATCAATATTACTCTTGAAGTAATCCCTGAATTGGTGTGAAGCTAGTTCAATCCATTTCCTAATGAAATATCTCTAAAGTTGGCTACTTTTGGGTGTGTGTTAGGAGTCTATTTAATACTTTAATAGTGATTATTATAGTATAAAATAGATAATAGCCCCAAATATATATATAAAGAGTGTGTTTATCTCTTACATATTATTTGGTTTATCCTTTATACAAAAACCACAAAACATTTCCCTTCTTTTCTTCTATTTCTGATCCTGAACCCATAAATAATCGATTATCATTGCTTGATAATCGACTATTGAAGCCTTCTGATTCCTCTTCAAAAATCTACAACATCACACAATCAATTATCTTGTAGTGTCAATCGACTAACTGGTTCCTCCGAACGTTTCCAGTTGAGCTACACCCTAATAATCGATTATCATTGTTAGATAATCGACTATTGAAGCCTTCTGATTCTTCTTCAAAATCTGCAACATCACACAATCGATTGTCTTGTAGTGTCAATCGATTATCTGGTTCCTCTCAACAATTCCAGTTGAGCTAATCCCTATTAATCGATTTATCGATTGTGTTAATCGATTATTCCTTAGCTCTGAACCTTGAAGTGAATCTGTTCCTGTTTATCTATCCTAAGTTTGGGTACAACACTTAGCCTAACTTGGGGTTTGAATATAGAATTTAAATAAGATATTACACACTTATTTAAATATCTAGAACCTAAAACTCACACTTAAGATAACCACTCTTAAGATATAGAATTAGGGATTTGGCTAAAATAGCATCACATTATTTTATAAATACTCAAAGAGTAAAAGGAGTTTTTAATATTCAAAAGATGTGTTACATTTGGCCATAGGGCCTGATTTATATAGGGAGAGGGGAAGGGGGAAATACATAGTACAAAACATGAGGAAACTTCCTCGAAGCAACTATTTCACACACATGTGATAATACCCATTTATTCTTGTCTCCTTAATGGAAAGAAA